GCGCGGGCCACGTGGCGACGGGTCGATGAAAGGCTGTCTCTTATACACATCTAGATGTGTATAAGAGACAGCACACGTACACACACATTATCTTGCCTATTGGTGGGGAGCAGCACTTGCTGGAAACTGGATCCGTCATCCTATGAACTTCGTGAATAAAGCAAGAATCGGGACCCCCCAAAACACACTCTTCGAGTTGTGTATAGCGAACATGACAAAACATATACACCACATAATCACTCCCTTACCCTTCTCCAACCACATCAACAAACAAACTACAGGTTGTGTACCCGTGCCCTCACGGTAAGTCAATTTTATGCCCCTGAGTTTGTTGCCCATCAGGGTTGCATTATATGCCCTTGAGACCTTAATCGTCAATTCAACATCAATGGTCATTCGGGAGGGTGGGCAATTTTGAGGTGAGGGTTTAGCAAGGGGTCGGGCATACGAAGGACAGGTAGTTTTCGTAGGAGGCCAAAGAAGTTGCAGTCGTTGAGTTGGATATTTCAAAATCGAAACAGTGTGGGAGGTCAGGGAGGTCGCAGTCTTTGAGTTCGCAATCGGTCAATGTTACGTTTTATGTCCTTGAGACCTTCAATGTCAATTCAACTTTCAATATCGGTGGTCGTCCGGGAGGGTGGACAATTTTAAGGTGAGGTTTTCACAAGGGTCGGGGCATGTGAGGGACCGGTAGCTGCCCGTAGGAGGCTGAGGAGGTCGTGGTCCTTGAATTTGACATTTTAAAATCAAAACGGTATGGAAGGCGGAGGAGGTTGAGATCCTTGAGTTTTACATATTTTGAAATCGGAACAGTGTGGGTTTACTTTTCTCGAATACTTTTAATAGAACACAGACACATTATATTCAAATGCAACTTGTACCCTTACTTATGGTGTGGTATTCAACTTACCTCCACCTGCGGGAGTTATCATAAACTCTTAGGTGAGTGCATCCCTGTCGAGCTTCTGAACCACGTACGACTCGGAAAACTTTTTGTATGCAATCGCAAAGATAGCCCAACTGAGGGTGTTTCTCGTTTATGATAACATAACGGGTATATGCGGTTAAAGCCTAAATCCGATCCGTGTGCAAATCGTTATCCGACGCATTAATCTCTTGAACGAGATCCTACACCAATCGACTAAGACAACTAATTTAACCACGTGATACACGTTCTCGCAGAAAAACTCGGGTCCATATGCAAATCGCACCTAGTTTTTTTTATGCTTAAACCACCAGTTCACCCACACTTATTTCAACAAACCAAAAAATGCATTTTGCCGAGCCTGAAAATAACTGGTACCATCCGTTGGCAAAATGTGGGCGGTACCGGTACCAGCCTCTCTAAGGACTGAAGTGTTCGACGTGTGGCCAGCAGATGGATTCGGAGCAAAAAGCAAGTTGTATCGCGTTTTCACTCATGTACGGCCCTAGCCAACTCTCGAATCCAGGAAAGCAGATGAAAAAAAAAAAAAAAAATCAGGGTTTCGTCAGTTCAATAATGATATCTCAAGGTCATTGCCTTTTTCATAAGAGAAAGAGGAAAAAAAAAAAAAAAAGATTATGAGTCTATGACACAACTGTGGGCCTCGCTGCCACAAGTTTTTGTTTTTTCTGCATGTAGAGAGTAGGTGCAGCGAAGTCTTGTACCACAGCCTCACTCGGTTTCTCTCCTCATGCACAAAAAACAAAAATCATTTGGTGCATCTCTCCATGTTCTAGCGGAAGATTCGCTTTCGTTTTGCACATTTTGAAAGCAGTTGAGCGAGGTCCTCAAGCCGGAAGGGCGAGACCCTCAAGTTGGAAAGAAAGGTGCCTTCATCCCAAAATTGAGCCTTATTGCATACTCTCGGAATGTGCAAAATGAGACTGAATTCACCACTATTAGAACATGGAAGGATACATTACCATATTTTTTGTCCTTTGTGCACATGGAGACTGGTGCAGCGAGCCTCCCTACACCGCCATTCACGTGAATGCGCAAAATGGAACTGAATAGGCGGCGGGAAAAGAGCACCCTGTTGTGTGTGGGGGGGAGAAACAACAAAAACCTGTGGCGATTCATCTAGCCATATTCTCAGTGAAGATTCATTATGAACTTGCACAATTGGTGAGTGGTGGAGCCACGTCCTTCGCTCGTTCTTTTTGTTTTCGTTTGTTTTTTTCTTTTGTCGTTTTCCTCAGTGGTGCACTTTGGGGGGCGTGACAGCTGCAACAATTTTTTTTTATTGTGTGTTCCTTTTGTGACGGTTTCTCTTTTTTTTATGGTGTTTTTTTTTTTTCTTTTTTTCGGCAGTGAAGATGTTTTCACTCCTGTTGCAACTCTTATAGCACACGAGGACATTTGTTTTGGGCCTACCACCCTTGTCCTGCCAAACCTCTACAAGCCCTGAGTCGAACGGCCTATGTCTGTTCGCAGTTCACTGCAATCGATGAACAATGCTCGTAAGTGAACTGGTGGTTTAACCTGTAACGATTTTAGTGCATGAGCGTATAAACGTCGTGCGCAAGACTTTGTATAAATAACGCGGCGATGAGAGCCTCACCATATTGACTACCCATATGCAAATACGTGAGCAGTTCCGATGATAGAGTACTATGTAATGCCCATAACCGTGAGATGCCACCTGAAATATGAGCTCGCACGAGACGCTAAGGTGTCAGTTGATGCACGCATCGAAGGGTTAATCCCTTAGCAATAGCATAAGCAAACCGACCACCCCGCCATCTTCTGCACCCTGTTGAGCCTCAAGTTCGGACACGGTAAGATGACGATGAGGGTAGAAGGGAAATTGAAGTGGTGGTGAGTTGTCTGGTGCACCGCCAATAATACACTAACCCCCTTATGCTCGAAACTCTATCGTTCCACCAAGATATTTTTGAACAAGAAGTTAAACCGTCGTGCGCGAGTAGACGTGCAAACGTTCATATGCCTTGGCCTATGCTTAACACGTTGTTAGTATAGAAACCTTGACAAGGGTATCTGGTCGGTATTTTTTCATGTCGGACGTTATCCGACTTCCATATAATGTTTTCAAGTTTAATGACTTGACGAGGTTAGGGTGTCTGTCAAAAGTCATTTAAACCAAACCTATAACCGAAAGGCATACCAAAATTTTATTTGACTCGAGTCTGGATGTCCGACGGTATTTAGAAAATATGAATGGCGACCAACAGCG